ATAGATAGATAGATAGATAGATAGATAGATAGATAGATAGATAGATAGATAGATAGATAGATAGATAGATAGATAGATAGATAGATAGATAGATAGACACATTGCCTTTATATAGCGCAAATCCCCGCTCAACAGCAAGCTCTATGCGCTTCACAATCTATCCTATTACTCCGACAGACATGAGAGCATTCTGAAACGAACTCAACTTCCTGGGAAGCATACAGTGCAAGCTGCCATTTATGGGCGCTAAAAACTAACATACTAGGCCACCGACGCCAAATCATATGAAACCTCACGAATAAGAAATCGCTACCTCAGAATTACAACGTTGTATATTGACATTTTTGGTCGTTTTGAGTTACTACGACCATGACGAGATTAGAAACCAAATGTTGTATCTGCTCAATTAGAATAGTAACTTTATTGTGAGTCGTTTTCAAGAATTTCAAAGAACTGCATAAGAAAAGGCTTGAAATGTTGTGAAACTCAAAAATTGTGGCGTCTAACTTCTCAAAACTAAGTACTGTGTAGACAGAACTATATAATCCTGAAGTCTCAAGCAGTCACAGCGGACAGCAAATCATATGAGGGTTCACGAATAAGAAATGTTGAAACTATGACACCACCACCAAAAAATGACAGAAGCTCGCAAGCTGCGCACATACATAAGGGGAGGTGGAGATTTTAAACGTCCAAAATGCGGCAAACGTTTCTTTCAACTTAGTCTCAGCAGCCACAGCAGAAGCTACAAGTAATCTAAACCTTTATTTCTTCTAATTCTTCAGTTTTTCGCTGGAGAAAGAATCTCCTCAGCGGATGTACTGGTCATCGCCTGACAGTGACGATGAGCTCATATTATTATATCAGTGCTTGTCAATCTTTTTATAGCCAGTGCCCACTTTTACCACCTTCAAGGGGTTAAAATTTTTGCATCGCTCGCCTACATGTATTTCCTAGTGAGGCGTTAAATAACACTCGTCACTACCCGGGTCAATCCTCACCGCCCACCAAAATAGTTGACAAGCACTGCTTTATAGTAACATTTCTTTCTGTTTCAAGCTGGCTTTTAGAACAATTTTCTCGGCAAAAGGAAAAGAAACCTGGTACTACATTTTCATTTAAATTGCTCTACTAATGATGAAATCGGCTGAAGAAAAGAAATGTACCAACACTAGCTTTTACCGTCTTCGTCGTTTGATCTTTTTCAGGTGTTCTCTTTCCTCCCGTACATGGAGGACATTCTCGAGGTTGCCAACAAAAAGTTCCTGAAGATTTCTGCGTGGAAGGTCGCCAAGTACTTAATCGCAAATTCGGACACCGTGACAAGGGAAATGAAACAAGAGTGAGTTTGATCAGCTGTGAGAAAATCTCCCAGGGCCAAAGAAAAAACAAACCTTTCAAGAGAGTGCATTGTGTGCATAAATTAAATGGTCTATCAGTACTATCACTCTTGTGGGTTCAACCATGACCGCAAAACACAAACCTTTTGCCACATCACTTGTTTTTCACTCATATAAACACTAGCTATCATAAGCTGTCATAATATAACCCTAATCGTAGGGACTATCTTGCAAGTTTAAGCTTTAATTAACACTTTGCTGTGGACAATACTGAACCTTAATAAAATCATTAAAAAGAACCAGTAGTTTCCCATCAATTCAAAGCGAGTCTTTGAAAATGAAGGTGCTGTATCCAAATCTTTACGTTCCCGTGCCAAGTATTGAATAAAACTATCTGTTCCTCCACAGGGCTGTCTGTTTGGTGCTTGAGTTCTCCACTCACAAGAAGCTTTGGAAGAAAGTTTACAGCGCTAACGATTTGTTCAGCTACATGCCCGGCTGTGTGGCCTACGGGGTCTCGGAGAAGAGGGTAAGTGTAGCTCATAGACTTGACTTATTATATCCTAGATTGCCATGTCTGTCTCTAGCTATTCTGTCTGTCTGGGTTGTGAAGGTTCGAAGCCAGGTTTCTGTGTCCTGTTCCCATCTTCTATTTGGTTTCCCCCTTCCTCTTTCGCTTTCCATCTTTACTACCAGAATATGTTTCTTGGCTGAATCACGTCCTTTAATATTTTTTAAAGGAGTCCCAATTACATTCTGTTTTAAAGGAGTGTTAGCGTTTTTATGTTTACTTTTCTATAAGGCATTTGAATTTGCTCTGGGTGTATTTCATTTGGAAAAAAAAAACCAACTATAGTACTTTTTCAAGTATCCGCTGAATTCTTAGAGTTTCATGTTTCATTTCCAAAGTTGTAATCCTTTTTGTATTCTGTTCATTGCTAATTCATGCTTCACACCCATAGATTGTGGAAGGAAATATTGTCGCTATCGCAAGCTATCTGTGTAAGACACATTTTGAGAATTTTCGGTTTTTACACGCTCTCAAAGCTCTATCAAAGATTCACCTTTCAGCATCACCAAAATGTGAGGCAGCGCGGTGGAATCAGGCTCTCGTCAATTTTTGGACATGTAGAGTTATTGGTATCATCTTAAAGCGTGTTCAGGTGTCTTTATTTGGATGAAAAAAAAGTATCCATTTATCATGAAACAAGTCGAGATATTACAAAATTTGCGAATGAAGGAGGTGGGGGTCCCCGGTTTTCAGAGGTAAAATTAGTTAGAAAATGGCCGCCAAAGATTTGTTAATTCCTTAGCTTAAGTGTCCGTGGTAACTGAAAATTTACATTTTTTTTGCCTTTAATCAACGTTTTTTAAAATGAAAACTCCACACAGAAACGAGTTCTTTAATGGGCATGAAAGGTGTTGAGCCAAAAAACAAAAATTTTATAAAAATTCACAAACCTGCGGAAAAGTGCAGATTTCTTCACTTCGATTATTTTGACGAGAGCCTGATTCCACCACGCTGCCTCACAAATGTAGTTGAATGTTTTGGCCTAGGCTTACAATTTTCTTGCTTTTCATGATTCCTGACGGGAACAAGACAACGAAAACTAGGTTTTTGTCTCTGGCGTAACAAGTGCCCAAAGGAACTTCAGTGGATTGCTTGATGCTCCAACTCTAGGGAACTTCTCAGAATTCGTATTTTTGTATCTTTGCATCGTCTTTTCCATATAGATGCTGTCAATCCAATATGTGAGGCAGCGTGGTGGAATCAGGCTCTCGTCAATTTTTGGGCTTGTAGAGTTATTGATATCATCTTAAAGCTTGTTCATTTATTTTTATTAGAATGAAAAACAAATATCCATTTATCTTGAATACTAGTCGAGATATTGGCGAAGGAAGGAGGTGGGGGTCACCTATTTTCAGAGGTAAAATAAGTGAAAAAATGGCAGCCGAAGATTAGTTATTTTCTTAGCTTAAGAGCCCGTGGTAACTGAAATTTACATTTTTTGTGCCTTTAATCAACGTTTTTCAGAAAAATCCACACAGAAATTACTTCTGTAATGGGCATGAAAGGTGTTGAGCCAAAAAAAACAAAACATTTTTATAAAAATTCACAAACCTGTGGAAAAATGCAAGTTTCTTCACTTTGATAATTTTGACGAGAGCCTGATTCCACCACGCTGCCTCACATATATCCTAAATATAATCTTATGTCAAGATGTCTTGGGAAACAGAAGGTCATGAACTCGACAGTTCACCTCAAAATGTCCTAATTCTTTATTCTGTGTGGTTGTCAGATCACTGAGGTGGTGAAAAAGGTCATTAGGAGTAACGCCTTTGAGTGGAACCAGGAGGGTATTGAGATGATCGCGCCCTTCATCGCTGCGGTACCCAAATCTCTCTTGAAAAACGTCAACGCTTCGTTGCTCTACGACAACTGGGGCCTCTTCAGCAATGCCAACTTCTCCATGGGGACGGTGAGTTGAATCTGGGAACACAATAAAAGTCATCACTTATTTGAGAAAGTAGCGTGGTCATAGTGAGCTTTACATAATAACAATCATCATCATCATCATCATCATCATCATCATCGTCATCATCATCATCATCATCATCATCATCATCATCATCATCATCATCATCATCATCATCATCATCCTCATCATCATCATAGAACATTTTTCATGTAGATTCTAGATGTGTTTGTGCGTTTTTCGAAACAATTAAGATCATTTAGGAGGCAGGCTTCTCACCCTGCCAGTCAGGGACAACCTGAGCTGAGAAGGATACAACATCCTAGCAGAAAGACCAAGATTCTCGATAGAAACGTTCTCCCCACTCGGGAATCGAACCTGGGTGGCCAACGTGCGATATAGCAGCGCCTATTCGCTACACCTTAGACATCTAAGAAGCCATACATGCTAGTCCTTTCAATGTACAGCAATCCTTTACAATACATACACCCGTCATCTGAGAACATACACTTAAAAGACAATAACTTTGACTGCTGATCACACTTGTTGAAAGGAAGCTTCGGAGATATCATTCTTTTTTTTTATTCCAACATTACATTTTCACTGTGTTTGTAGCACCATAAAAAAGCTACCTTAGACTTTAAAAAACAAGAGATGGGATTTCTGGGCGGCTCTAGAAAATGGTCGACAATTTTTTATCAATGATAAGATCATAAAACGGTCATACTTTATGAAGGACTTGTAATGGTTATCCGGAAATACATGCATACTTTTTAGTTCTACTATATTAATATGCATATTTATTAATTTTTTA